CTGGCCTTTTCTGTTTGTGGTACTGAGAAATCAAACCCAGGGCTTCATGCATGCTGGGCAAGCACTTTACCACTAAGCCACATTCCCAGTGTAGTGCAGTTTTTATTTTATAAATTTTTTATTGTAAAAATACTGTACAGAGGGGTTACAGTTATCGAGCATTGTTACCTCCTCCTTTGTTTTTTCCCTACCATCCCTTCCCTTCACACCTCCTCCCCCTACAAGTTGTAAAGTTCATTTTCAACATAGTATCTTATACATCTCATTGTAACAATGGGTCAACCTGTATCCTTATTTAAGCATTTTGTTATTTCCCTTCTCCTCCCCCAATTATAAAAATGTATATACAAGATGCAGGGCACTGGAATCAAATACAGTGGAAACAGGGGTTATACCATGGAGGAAGAACATAAAAAAGAAACAAAAAAAATCACACAGTACATTATAAATATGTTAAAAACAATAGCAAGAAAGAAAAACCATTTGTGTCCCTATCTTGGGATTTATTTTGCTTAACATCTTTTTTTTAAATACATTTTTAATTGTGAAAATACTGTACAGAGGGGTTACAGTTACATGAGCAAGGTAATGAGTACATTTCCTATCAAGCATTGTTGCCTCCTCTTTTGTTTTTCCCCTCCCATCCTTTCCCTCCCACCTCCACAACTATATTCCCCCCACCCCCAAATTGTGAAGTTCGTTTTTCAACATAGTGTCTTGGGCTAGTGCAGTTTTTTGAAGTTGAAGAACAGCTCCATGCTGTTCACTGTTGGTTGTGGGGCTTGAACTTAGGGCCTAGGTGCTGTCCCTGACCTCTTTGTGCTCAAGGCTAGGGGTCTACCACTTGAACCATAGCACCACTTCTGGTTTTTGAGTGGGATTTTTCTGCTCAGGCTGGCTTTGAACCATGATCCTCAGATCTCAGCCTCCTGGGTAGCTAAGATTATAAGCATGAGCCACTGGTGTGGGGGTTGAAAGGTCCTTAGGTGTGTACTGAAGGATATACCTGCAGCTACACTGAACTAGACAACTGAGATTTCTCTGCTGGCAAGGATAATGCCCATTGTTGGGTGCCTCCTTGAGGCTAAGGAATTCTGAGTGATTATAAGTTATCATACTGTTTTTGTTTGTTTGTCATCCTTACCTTATTTAACACAGTCTGGAAGCCTGGCTGGGAGAACTGATTTGAGAACATAGCTTTGTTGCCAGGCCTTTGAATGTTCAGATCTGCCATTATGAGTAAGTCAGATCTCTGAGCCTCATTTTTTCCACTCGGAAGAGAGACAAACAACAACATTGGAGTCTTAGGAAAGCTAAATGGAGAGTGGTGTGGTGTGGGCCGGTCAGTACTGCTCAAGTACCCACCAAGTACAATGAGGGTGGACCTCAGCCTGGCTGCTGCTGTCCAGAAGCCCCTCTAAAGAATGCTTTCCCTTTACCCCTTAGAAACACCCAAAACCTTGTTCACCCTATACATCTCAGGCCTTGCCTCAGGTCTGTTGAATGGAAACTCTTTTAACAAGCCCTTCATGTCACTCTGATGTGCACTGAAGTTTGAGAACCTTCCAGCAAAATGCAAAGTACTGAGTAGACATTAGCTGAGAGTGCTGGTAACTCCCTGTTACATGCAGATGGGGTCACTGAGAACCTCTAACTAGGCTGATTTTGGGGTGACATTGTCCTGGTTGTATGAGAATGAAACTGTTTGTTTATCTATGGGAAGAGGGGGCTACCCTTAATTAAAGTGATAGTTGTTACCTTGTAATTACTCAAAGGTAATTACAGAGATGGCAAATTGTGTAAGACATTTGCCATTTCCTGAAAATCCCCTCATTCAAAACATTTTCCACCCACCCCCCCCCTCCCCTGCTCATTGTGATCTTGGTTTGAAAACAATGCACAAAGGTTTGCTCATGCTGTGAATTGCTTGTTGATTGATTGATTGTTAAAATTTACCTTTTCTCTAATTGCAAAATGAAAAAGTATCCCTGGAAAAAATGTGCTTGGGAACATTTAATAATGCATTCTCCAAGTCATCACAAACTTGAGATCTACCCAGTATGACTGGCAAAAGACTTCCTTCTAAGGAGAAAGGGAGTGGGCAAGGATCAGGCCAGGGCCAGGGCACATAGCCTCCTGTGGGCCCCTGTCAGACTTTAGCCTTCCTCTGTACTGCAGGAGCCAGGGTGAGGGAATTGGGGAGATGAATCTCAACAATGTCTGACCCCATGAAACTCATCTAACAGTGTCATTTATTCACATTTTTATTCACCACAATGTGTACAGGCTTTTCAGTTGAAGAGTGGTGGTGAATTAAAAGCATCAATCTCATAGTCTCCAGTGATACAGTACTGCATATGCCTGCCAATAAATTCCTAGTATGGCTTTAAATTTTTTTTTGAGACAAATGGAAGTAAAGCCCTAATTAACCAGAATCCTTAATTTAAGAGGATTTGTTTTCCATGGAAGGCTCTTTGATTTTAGAATCACATATAATAAGCCTATGTTAGGAATTTTATGAAAGAATAGTCTAATTGGGGGTTTCTTGTTATTTCTGTAGCAGTTTTCATTCATTTAGAATGAAAACTCAGAAGCATGGTAAAGTCTATCTGCTGCTGAACTAAGCCTGAGCTGAGCAATTTATAAACATTTTAGTAATTTTAAACCATTGTAATTTTGTGTGAGGATAACTGATCATGGAATTGATGAGAAATTATACAAGAACCCCCTCTCCCCCAAACCAGTTATTTGAGGTGCTGCTGCTCACACTTTCATCCTCAGCTTTGTTTTCAGGTCTTTGTTTTGGGACAAAAGAGAGATTGTTCTGAAGTGACCAGAACTCTCCCTTATGAAGCAGAGCCAAAGACTGAAAGCAGATATAGCCATGGGGTTAGGAGACAAGAGGAGGCATGGCTGTAACTAGTGGTACCAGAAAGGGGAGACTTCCTGTGGTGAGATCTTGCTTGACTGAAGCTCAGCTTGCATACCTGGGGCCTTCCTAAGAAAGGAGAGAGGAAGGAGTTCCTTTGTGCAGAGCATCATTGCAGGCTCCAATCCCTCTGAAACCTGGCCCCCAAATGGCAAGAAGACAAGTTTTTTTGAAGGAAAAGCAAATTATTTCCTAACCAGTGTTCTTATGTGGCTTCTGTGGTTGTATGCAAATGGTATGTGGCCTTTTGAACCAACAAGAGGAATAAGCAACACTACGAAATAATTGCAAGGAATTCTTGAGTGGTCAAGTTCTTTGTGCTACTGCCACCCAGAAGAAGAAAGTCTAATTGTCTAAAATATATGACTTTCAGAGAATGTTCCAGTTTCATCTTTAATACCTTCTTTTTCAGTATGTTTACAAATAGTAAATTGCTTCCTTGGTAGTTGTGAGTTCTTATAAAATCTGATATGGTTATTTGTCATCTAATAAAGAGTATATATGTGTGTATAAATGCCATTCCTGGAGCTTAAACTCAGCTCCTGGGTGCTGTCCCTGAGCTTTTTTTGCTCAAGGCTAGTGCATGACCACTTGAGCCACAGCTTTACTTCCAGCTTTTTGGTGATTAATTGGAGAGGAGAGTCTCATTGACTTCTCTGCTTTGGTTGGCTTCAAGCTGCAATCCTTAGATCTCAACCTCCTGAGTAGCTAGGTGACAAATGTACACCACTAGTGCCTGGCTAGCAGATACTTTGAAAAAATTATTATTATTATTATTACTACTATTATTATTATTATTGCCAGTCCTGGGGCTTAAACTCAGTGACTGGGTACTGCCTCTTAGCCTCTTTGTGCTCAAAGTTAGCACCTTGCCACTTGAGCTACAATACCACTTCCAGCCTTTTCTGACTGCTTCTAGATTTTTCTGCCCGAGCTAGCTTTAAAACACAATTATTAGATCTCAGGCTCCTGAGTAGCTAGGCTTACAGGCTTCTATGGGGAAAGCTGAGGTAGAAGGTAAGGGCCAGGTAGCTGATGGCAGGCTCCTGTGGAAGGATAGAGGAGAGGCTATGGAAGTGTAGAGAGGCCAGGAGAAGGGTGAGGAGGGCAGCTGACACCAGGGCCAGGGTTTGTAAAGCTTTACACAGTCAAGGCAACTGAATGTTTTCCTGTTCTTTCAAATAGCATTGAGAACGAAGAGGCAGAAGATTGCCTAGAAGCCAGTCTGTGATGACGGAAGTCTTTTTTACAGTTCTTAGTTTCGTTATTCATGGGAGATCACATGTGAGGGTCTAATGGGGTGGCCTAGGAGGTGACAATGAGGCAAGCTCACTTTTAGTTTATGTGCTAGTTAAAAAGCCCCCGTCCTTCCACATCTGTCTCCAATTTGTTTCTTAGCCAATGCATTTTAACCCCTCTTGTGCCAGGTCTGTAATCTAGGATACATTTTTGTGTGGCTTAAGTAGGACAATCCGATTGTAGAACATTCTCAGTAGGGAGAGAGCTGACATCTATAATTGGATAGTCTCATCCTTGACATTTGAAATGAAAAATAAAAAATCATCTTTTTGGATTTGCATGCCAAGATATTCCTGCCGAGAAGGCTGAGAATAAAATAAATGGTGTTTTAGGTGCTCGGTTGTCTTTTTGGAAGATTTTAATCTTCCAAAGTGTACAATACTGATCTAGGAAAAGTCTTTCTAAAGTTCACATCCTGTTGACTCCTTCAGATGAAAAGTTTCTTTCTCTAACCCGTGTTTTGCAAGCTGGAGGTAAAAATATGATGCCACATAGCCTGTAAAAGATCATTCAGCTTGGAGTCAGTGTTAGACCACAATGCTGTGGCCCAGAATGAGTGTGGGCTTCTGGAGCCGGGACCCCAGGCTGGAGCCACAGCCATCTGATGCTGCTGTCTAGGACTAGGTTAAGGGGCTGATGCTTTCTTTATGCTTCCTGTCATCACCACTTCCCAGTCCCCAGCCTTGCCTCCTCCACACTAGTACATGTGCCCAACAAAACTTGGATACTGATGAATTTTGTTGTTTTCGTTCCTTTGTGGCATCTGAAACAGCTTGTACAATGAAGACAGAAACCTGCTTCGAATTAAGGAGAAGGAAAGACGCAACCAGGAAATTCACCAAGAGAAAGAGGCATTTCCTGAAAAGATTCCCCTTTTTGGAGAGCCCTACAAGGTACTCACCCTATACCAGAAGATGCAAGTCTGATTTATCACTGTGTTGTGCTCTGTGATGAAATGATTCTAGTTCATTCACGACCAATTTCAGATAAGCATTACAACTGTGGAAATAGCTTATCACAGAGATTTTTTTTTTGGAGGGGAAAAAAACCCCCATTAAACTGTGTGCTACACATTAAGTTGAGAGGTTCCTTCTCCTTAATAGTGTAATAGATTTTTTTTAAAGTAATTATTCTTCTTAGATTTTTTTCTTCCGTTCTCTGACTCTAGTGCCCTTTTTGTTTTTTAGAAAGCAAAAGGTGATGAGCTGTCAAGCCGAATACAGAACATGTTGGGAAACTATGAAGAAATGAAGGAGTTCCTTAGCACCAAATCCCATCCTCGGGGTTTGGCTGCTTCTGAAGATAGGTTGGGGAAGTCAAGATACCCTTTATTTCCTGACAAGGGGAGCAGCATTCCATCCAACTCCTTCCACACACGTGTCCACCACCAGCCCATTCACACTCCTGCCTCCGGACCACTTTCTGTTGGTAACATTAGCCACAATCCGAAGATGGTAAAGCCAAGAATGGAACCATTGCCAAATCTCCATGCCAAAAGTTATGGGCCACCAGAAAGCCAGCACCTGGCCCATGCTTGCCTTGGTCAGGAGGGATATGGCTCTAGTCATCTCAAAAAAGGTGACCATAGACCTGATGGAGGCCATTGTACTTTGATGACAGACTCAGCTCCAGAAAGGGAACTTTCCCCCCTAATCTCATCTTTGCCTTCCCCAGTGCCCCCTTTGTCACCTGTACATTCCAACCTGCAAGCTCTTCCCAGGATGCCAGCAAGCAACAAGGTTCATAGCAGTAGCAACAGCAGTAAAAGCTTCTGCCCAGCCAAGTCTCCCAAGGACCTGGCAGTGAAGGTTTGTGAGAAAGAGACCCCTCAAGACAATCTAGTAGCGGTTGCCAGCCTTGGAGTAGCCACTCCCCAGCCAGCTTCTCAGACATTTCCACCCCCCTCTCTACCATCAAAAAGTCTTGCAATGCAGCAGAAGCCCACTGCATATGTCCGGCCCATGGATGGCCAGGACCAGGCTCCACTGAGTGAGTCTCCCAAGCTGAAATCGCTGCCAGAAGACTATCGTCAGCAGACCTTTGAAAAAACAGACTTAAAAGTGCCTGCCAAAACCAAGCTCACCAGACTGAAGATGCCTTCCCAGTCAGTGGAGGTGAGTTGGGATTTCTGACATAGGGCATTTCCCAATGTGAAGAGAATTGAGTGGGGAGGTAAGTCTGTAATGTTGGGATGGTGTATGCTTTTGGCTTAGGAGCCTGCTCATCCATGAAAAACTCAGGTAGCATGTGGATTAGATACTGAAATAAGACTTTTCTTTTTGGTAGGAGATGTTCTTTCTAATGGAAGGATGAAATCTAATGAAATCAAGATGGCTCAGGCTAGCCATGAACTGGAGAGCCTCCTGCCTAACCCTTTGAAGTGTTAGAATGAATCCAGCTTGAAATGTAGTTTGCAGAAGGGTTTAAAGAAGTCTTGTTAAGCCGGGTACTGGTGGCTATGGTTCAAAGCCTACCTGGGCAGGAAAATCCATGAGACTCTTATCTCCAATTAACTACCAGAAAACCAGAAGTGGAGCTGTGGCTCAAAGTGGTAGAGTGCTATCCTTGAAAAAAAAAGAGTTCAGGGACAGTAGTGCCTAAGCCCTGAGTTTAGGACTTAGTACTGGACACATACAATTCTTACTGAGTGCTGGAGATACGGTTTAAGTGGTAGAATGCTGCTCAGCAAGGCACAGTGCCCTGACTTCAGAACCTTGTATCATCAAAAATACCCACAACCCCCCCAAAACAAAATGACACACAAAACCTCAAAAGCCTTTTATTGAGCCATATTTAACACGTAAAATCTAGAGACTCTAGGAGTACTATTTGTCTCGTGTATAGTTTACAACCCCAATGGAAGATTAAGAATTATTTCTAGTACTTTCTCCTTTTGCTTTTTTAAAAAACAATGTAAAGGAAAAGTTTTGCATTAATAAGCACCTTAGTTTACTCAGTTTCTTCTGAGTCAAGTAAAATCAAGATGTCCAAGTGTTAAAAGTGTTTTTTTAAAGGTTTGTTGCTTGTAAATGGTAAGAAACTTTTAAACTGAAGTTGTGTTGCAGTATGCTTTATTTACCATTTGAAAAAGAAGAGTGGGTGTATGGTGACATGTCATTTGAGAGTGAGTCACATGTTGACAGAATGTTATTCAACTGTGGGGTTTAAAAGTAACCAAAAATATTATTGTTGTTGTTTTTTCTTAACTAAGAAAAAATAATTTCCTTTTCTTGCCTTCTTGATAACTGGCTGAGTTGTGTTTGAAAGGAGAAGTGGAGCACATATCCTGTTATTAGACCTGAGCTTCTTTCTTTTGCTCAAGGCTAGCACTCTGACACTTGAGCCACAGTGCCACTTCCGGCCTGTTCTGTTTATGTGGTACTGAGGGATGGAACCCAGTGCTTCATGCTTGCTAGGGAAACACTCTACCTATCATTCCTAGCCCCTGTCACTGAAACTTTTAAGTGATAGTAGCTACTGTAAAATTAAGGTTAACAGATGAAAGTAAAGTGTTGGAAAAGAATTTTGTGTGTGAATTGAATTTAATTATTTGAGATGGGGTGTTGCTATGTTGTCGAGGCTGATCTAGAAATTCTGCACAATTTATCCTCCCATCTTAGTTTTCCAATGAAGTGGATGTTAAGAACCTGTCTGTAAAAGACTGTGGTTTGACCCACAAATTATATAACATAATTTGTGTCTCCATCGAGTCACTCATAATGGGAGAAGGTAAAATTCCTTTGTCTTAATTTTTTCTTTTAAAGATCTTTGACTGGAAAGTTAGTCTTGATCTTGAAGGTTCCTAGTAACTGTCAGCTTTTGGTTTAGAGGAGAGACTTGGCGTTCTATTGTTGGATATCTCTTGAGCCTCTGATGTCTTCTAGAAAGTGACTTTTATTTGGGGACCAAGGAAAAATCAGAAAGGAAGAGTTAAGCAAATGGGAGAACTGGTCCAGATGGCAGAACTCTAGGCTTCTGACTTCATCTTAAAAGGGATCAACTCAGTGGGCTGTTTTTTGAGCATTTGTGCTGTGATATAGCCTGTCAGCTTACTTTATAATCTTATAATTCAGACATTGAAGAACTTAATGGGAATTCCTTTGCTTTATTTTTCAAATTACGTTTATTGTGTCTTCCTAGTTCTCTCTCTCTCTCTCTCTCTCTCTCTCTCTCTCTCTCTCTCACACACACACACACACACACACATACACACACATATGTAAGAAAATAAACATTTTTCTTTGAAAACCTGAAAGACTGAAAAAAAATGCTTTCAAACAATTTCAGGATGCATCAGCAAGTACTTACATAGTCTACCAAATGCCCAAACATATGCTTACATTTGGGGAAATGATGCCAAAGAAGTATTGGTGCTGCCCCCAGGCATTAGTTTACTGGAATAAGGAGTCTGCATCCCTGAAACCATTAGAGAGTAATTCAATGGAAACCATCTGGTGCTAGGTGCATTGACTATGAACCCGTGTGAATTCAGCCAGCAGGTTTTCTAGCAGACAGTTCAAGAGCAGAGGCTCTTGGTTAGCTTCCTGCTTTCTTGGGGCTGGGGGCAGGAGTCAGCAACTGAGTCAAGATTTATCCCAGGTCTGAAAGTTTCTGCTCTTTATTAGGCATTGCAAACACAGGACTCTGTTAGGTGAATCTTGCACATTTTCTGAGGAGTTGACATTTGAAATGCACAAGGTCCACCATAGATTTGGTGGTTGGCGAATGGTTTTTTCTTGGCACCGAAGAATCTACTATTAACAATTATGTAGATGTAAATGTATCATCTGCAGTCAGCTTTCTCTGTAGTGTGACAGCTCACTCTGGCTCCTGCCAGAGCTTCATGCCAATGGCATCTGTGATGCCAACTGCCTCAGACCCTATGGTAGGGCTGAAGTTGATGGTCAGGCAGACATCTAGAGGACTCTGGGGGACTCTTGTGAGGGAGAAGAGGAGCCAGAAGCTTGGAAGAAAGCAGGAGGCATCTGGATATTAGTGCATTCTGTCTAAGTTTATTTATTTATTTTATGGCTAGGTATTGAATTAGATTGTGCTTTGTTAACAAAGTTCTTGTGTTTCACAGATTTAGCATTAATTTTTTGATTACATATAACAAAATGGGTATTTAAGGCTTTTCTTAGGGGAGGGGCTGCTTCTGGGGCTTGAATTCAGAGGTATTGTTCTCATTTGGGCCTTGCTTGCTTACAGCTGGTGCATTACTACTTGAGTCATTCATTCAGCCTTGCGCTTTGCTAGTGAACTGGAGATGAGTTCTCACAGACTTTTCTACCTGGGCTGTCTTCAAACCACTCTGCTTGAACTGACTTTGTGCAATGATCCTCCAGGTCTTAGCTTTTTGACTAGCTGGGATTACAAGCATGAGCCAGTGACGGCTGGCCAGAATTTTTTTTTTTTAATGGGAAACTTAAAAATCACTTATTTTTACATTTTGATGAACTCAAAGAAACCAGAGATAAGGAAAGCAAGAGCAGGTGAACTTTGAATATTGTGAGTTTTTTTTTCAGTCATGGGGCCTGAACTCTGTCTGGGCCTGGTGCTACCCCTCAGCTCTTTAGCTAGGGCTAGCACTCCTGAGCCACAGCACCACTTCTGGCTTTTTCTGCTTATGTGGTGCTGAGAAATCGAACCCAGGGCCTCATGCATGCAAGGCAATTACTCCACTGAGCCACCTTCCCAGCCTCTGAATTTCGAGTATTGAAGCAGAGATTGAGCCGTATCGTGAGTGCTTTTAGTATTGGGGCAGTAGTCATTTGCTTCATTAGTCCTAAGGCTTAAAAATTTGTTGTTGTTGTTTTTACCCTTTCTTTCTTGGCTCTTTGGGCTTTGTGATTTATTTTGTTGCTTCCATGACAAAATATTTTAAAAAGTGAACCCAAATTAGTTGCCTTGTCTTTTGGTCAAGCCACGTAAGTAGATTTCTTATAAACTGCTCTGTGTTGTTTTACTTCCTGGAAGGTATTTAGTTTCATGTTGTAGTTAGTACTTAAAAAAAATGATATTCTTTTCGGGGATTAATCATTCTTATAGTTAAAGCATTGTCCTTCCTTAAGATCCTACCAGAAAAAATAATTTAAAAGGTTACCATTCTTACTAAATAGAGGCTTAGATCAGAAAACAACTCAGCTTTCCCTGTAGAGGTCTGTCTCTGTCAGCCCGAAGTTGTATAGCAGCGGGCAGTGATCTTGCCAAGAAGAGCCAGGCAGGACTGTGAAGTTTCATGGTGATATTTCCAGCATTGGAGTTGCCAGATCAGAGATGGACCTACCCAACTGTAAGGCTAAGGTTATTTTCCATCTTACTCTTTGACTAGAGAGAACAAATGAAAGAGAATAGCTATGCACGTAGGTGGATTGGTCTTGAGGATGGAAGAGGGAGGAGTGCCTAGACACAGGTTTTAGGCTCAACCTATGTTAGATAGGTCTTATTAAAGAAGAGAAATGGGCCAGATATGGTCAAATGCCTCTACTCTCAATACCTGGGAGATTTAGCCAGGAAGTTCTTTCTTGTTGGTCGTTGGTCTTGAATGATGGGCCTGGGTGCTGTCCCTGCGATCTTCAGCTCAAGGCAAGCACTCTACCACATGAGCCACAGCACCACTTCCGGTTTTCTGGTGGTTAATTTGGAGATAAGAGTCTCACGGACTTTCTTGCCTAGGCTGGCTTTAAACCTCGATCCTCAGATCTCAGCCTCCTGAGTAGCTAGGATTATAGGCGTGAGCCACTGGTGCCGGGCTAAGGAAGTTCTTGAGTTCTAGGAAATTTTGAACTACACAGGGCAACCCTTCTCACAGCACCAAGGACTGGGGGTGGGGTGGCTGTAGCTCTGTCATAAGAGTGTTTGCCTCAAATGTACAAGGCCCTAGGTTGATGCCCCATATTATAGAAATACAAACAATAAGAGATTAATATACCAAATTGTATGCTGAATTTGAAATGTCATTTTGACATAAAAACAAGCCTTCTATATTAAAAATAAGATCTAAGAGGATGAATCCACTTCATTTTGCTAAAAGTTAGTTAATATCAGGGCCAGAGTTAGAGCTCCCAATTCTTTGGTCTTTCTGCCTGCCTGACTGTTTGGTGCTAGCTTTGGT